AAGAGATGGTCAAACTTAGAGAAGAGATGTCGGTGCAATCCAAACCGGAACACTGTTCGGTAATTGGGTCATATCTGGAGCTACAGATCTCAGATTTAGGTCCAATTTATATGGATGGAAAGGTAAGACATAGGCCTACAACTTTCATATGGAGCCCAAGATCTAAAAAGGCCATTATCAAGTCCAAATTGTAGCAACAACAAAGAAGCCCGAATCTGTCTTCCAGCCCGAGCACTGTTCGGTATTTTGGCCATATCTGGAGTTCTAGAAGTCCAAATGAGCTGAAGTTTTTACACAAGAAAGCTGAGACAATTGCCTACAACTTTCATGTTTACAACTGGCTCCAATTTTGACGTTATCAATGACGTTTTGGGCAGACAAGAGAAGATAAGGATTGTCACCAAGTCAAAAGTTGGTCACCCACTTATCAATTAGTCATCAAATCAATAGTTCCCATTTTTGGCCTATAAAAGGAGGCATTTGCCATGCATTTAGGCATCTTGATTTCCAGATCAAGATCATGCTCTTCCTTTCTCTCTTTGTATTTTTTATGCTTTGTTTTCATTAATATTAAGTTTATGCCTTTCATTTCCTTTCCTTTACTTAGTTAACTTTTATGTTCTTATTTTGTTTATCTATTTTGCTTTCTTTCATTATGTCTAGCTAAGTTAATTATGTCAAGGTGAAAAGGTTACACTAATGGTGTAAGAATAAGTATAATGTAAACTTAATATGGACTTTAATGTTTGATACTAACATGTTTTATATTTGCTATCTTGTTCACTCTTTAATACTTTGCTTGTTAAATGACTAATCTTGATTTATGTTATATAACACTTGGTACAACAAATGCTTGGCACTTTCATAGCCCATAATGTATGGTATAACCGACACCTGAGCTATGAAAGGAACTTGATTTGTTGTTAACATAAGTTATAATCATGAATGCTTGACGAGATTTACAAGTATTAGCATTAATTGAATAAGATGACTAATGTAATCATGTTAACAATATATAATCTGATTGGAACCTCCTTTGTGTGTGGTTTCCAATTCAATAATAAGAGTTTATACTATACTTGTTTGATATACCATTAGTGGAACCTCTAACTTTTAGTCGTGTCAGTTATCAAACAGGCAATGATTACGTAACCTAGTACCTTTTAGGGTGCTCACTTCTACTGGACAGTCGTGGAATGCTAAGGTCTTGGACATCATTGAAGATGGGTACTTGGGCTTTTCTATCAGGTGGTCTAAAGCTCCAAGTTATTTAGGATTTGATTACGTTTAACCCTGGGAGCGCTTTGCCAGATCATTATACCTGGAATGGTCACTCATCAGGGAGGTTATTTATTGACTTGTCATGGGAGGTTCTTAGAGATTTTAGACCTATAGACTCTATGCACCATCTTCTCTGGTTTCTAGATTTCATCTTAAGACTTTTTTTTTTTAATTTTATCATGTGGCTTGTTTTTATGGGTCATCTCAACACCGTAAACAAACTATATGCTTTTCAGATCATTCCCTCTTCAACATGTATTCTTTATAGGTCGTAGGTTGAAACAGATGAACATTTACTCTTTCATTATCCATTCTTTGCTACAGTTTGGGGTGCTATCACAAGCATGACCCTTATGGATTGACCTTTTTTGACATGACGTTAGCTACTTCAATTAGCTATTTTAACCTTAATTTATTTCATTTAGTATAAGAAAAATAATCGAGTCTTTCATCAGATTTATTAATCTTATCAGGATGTTGGTGATGACATTTTTGATCTGGTTTAGTTCAATTTAATAGAGCTCGAACCAAGGTTTCACATCCCAGATACTTTCAAGTCCATTAGACACTTTAAAGAGTCATAAAATATCATTGCTGATTTTGAAATTATATGTAGTACAATTTCATATGTAATCAACCGGTTAGTCAATAAAAAAATTTCTAGAAACTAGTCAACCGACTCCTATGTTGTTTATAGTATGCTTTTGTTCTTTTTCAAATTCTTTTCAGTTTTGCTTCTTTTTTCTTGTTATTTTTGGTTATATAGCCCAAGATAACAAGTATTTATACTTCCTAGGATATACCCTTCTCATACTTTGTACAATCTCTTCCCTTTAAAAGCACTATTTTTTAAAAATAAAAAAAAATTCAAGTATGTCTAGGAAAGCTTGGATGACATTGGCACAACCTCTAGTTGCTCCCAACCAGTATGGCCAGACGGTGCTAGCCACTCCCTCAGCAGTGTCTGAAAAGGTCATCATTGTTCACTAAAAATATGTGAATCATTGTGAAATAAACAAGACTCAAAGTAGAGGGCATACTAGTTGTTTAGGGATTTTAATTATACAGAAAAGCCCAGATTCAGCTGATTGTAATTAACTCAAGAGAGTAAGACATGACCAATAATTTGCTTTAATTTAGGAATGCACTTGAAAGTGAAAAACCATATCTATGATTTTCTAAGGTACAACGAAAATTGAAGATTGACATTATAAAAACTGACAAAGAACCACTCGGCTGATTTCAATAGAAGATATTATAGCTAAAACCATTTGCTAAACTAAACATACACTTCAAAAATCTGTCAACCTTTCAAGTTCAAAACATCCACGCTGCTTTTCTTTTGATACTTCAAAATGAAAATGAGACCATATTTGTGCAAATACCTACATATCAGCAGCAGACAGGAGATGCTCAACTGCAGGCATGATCTCAGCCTGTAAAAAATTCCTCATAAATCACGTGTACGAGAAAAATTCACTCAAGCAGCACCAGAGAATTGTTACCAGAGTGAAAAATATGCACCTTTAGATCATGATATACAGTATGCAGTGAATTAACGAGAGGGTGCTCAAATAATATCAAGCAACGATCATTGCTGAATGCAATAAGAGGAACCTTGTTCTTCCAAGAATAGAGACATGCCTCCATTTTCAAAATCAAGAACAAGTACTTGATGATGACAATGATCCTTTAACACAATAAAGAGATCCACATGCCTTGTAAAACCATTTAGTTTTGTTTTTTTCTTTTCCGTACATGGAAGAAAATTATCATAGCGGTTAAAATCAGTCACCAATAAGATTGGATTGTTATGTTAAGAAAAAAAGAAAAAATAGGGATTACTAGTTAACAATATGAAATACATGGATACTATGGACTTTTTGAGAGGGGGGTGGAGCCTTATATATATATATATTTCAATAATTTTAATAGTGTGGAAATTAAATTATTTTTTAAGTGTGTTTTTAATGCTGATAAGTGACAATGGGACTAATTGGATTAATAATTTTTTTTAGATTTTAACAATTAAAAAACTTAGTCAAGTTTAAAATAATTATTCCCAACAAATTAAGAAATTTACTTCAAGCAATATATTATAATGTCACGCTTTTTACAACTATAATCACTAAACTTAGATTAATATGTTCAAATGAATTTTAATTTGATGAATTAATAGCCCATTGAGTTCAATTTTATAACTAGATCAGTTCATCATGTAAGTTAATTAGCCTAGTTAAATTATTTAGTAGGTTTTATTAAATCCAACTAGCTAATCTCTTTTGTTGAAAAAAAAAACAAAAAACTCAAATAGCATTTAAAGTCAATCCATATATTATAATACTCAAAATCAATTCTATGTATAAAAAACTCGTTTTAGTTAGATTTTAACGATAAATTTAATATTAAATCCAGTCAAATTTAAAATAATCATTTTCAATAAGTTAAAAAAATTACTTCAACCAGTCAATATATTATAATGTTAACACTCAACACACTAAATTTTCAGCAATTATAATCATTGGATTATTATATTCAATTGGATTTAAACTTGATAAATTCATAGCTCATTTAGTTTTATGTGTTTTTTTAGATGGTAAATTATTATTTTAAATCTATAAAACTGATTAAAAATGAAATCAAATTCAATTAACTAATCTCCTTTGTTAAAAAAATATATATACTAAAAGTTAAGACCAATACAATCTCATTAATAGAAAAAATTGTGTTTTTATTGGAGGGTTTATATATATATATATATATGATTATTAGAGGTGAAAAAAAAGATTAAATTGAGAAAATTAAAAAAATAATTGAAAAAACCGAACCATGAAAAAAATTGATTAAATTGATTATAATTTAAAAAAAAACCTTTTGATTTAGTTTGGTTTCGATTTTATAAGTTTGAAACAAAAAAAATCAAAATGAAGTCCAACTTAAAAATAAAAAAAAATAAAGTAAAAAAAAAAAACCGAGCCAACTCGGTAAAAATCAAGCCAAACCAGAAAAAAACAGAGCCAAACCAGAAAAACCTAGTTTGAACACGTTTTCCCCAAAATAATAAAACCGAACCAAAACTGGTTAATTTGAACCGATTTTGATTTTTTTAAAAAAACTAGTTTTGGTTGTTTTTTTTGAAAAAAATTAAACTGAATTGAAAATTATCATCTCTAATAAGTATAATTATTTTTTAAAGTACTTTTAGCTCGGAAATGTATTAAAATAATATATTTTTTATTTTTTAAAAATTATTTTTAATATCAATACATCAAAATGATTTGAAAATATAAAAATATTAATTACAAATAAAAAATAAAAAAATATTATTTTAAAAAATATTTTTAAATCACAAAAACAAATAAAATTTTAATATCTTCTTCGTATTATTTTATAGATTTAAAGTTTAAATAAAAAATATTTAAAGAAAAAATTAATATTACCAGAAATACTCCATGAGCCCCTGCTGTTTGGTCCTGCTTTTAGTTTGAATTTTTTAAAATCTTGATTTTTTAAGTTATTTTTTAACGTTAATATGAAGAATAGTTTTTTAAAATTAAAAAATATTATTTTAATATATTTTTAATAAAAAATAATTTAAAAAATATCCTTCAAATACTATTTGACTATTAAATAAGACAAAGGGAAAGCGCGTGCTATGCAGCGCTCTTTTCTGTTACTAATAAATAAATAAAAAATCTCCACTAATATCATTAGATTCTCCGAAGTCCAAACACTCCCTTAGCCCACCGATCCCTCCCCCCCTAATCGATTCCCACCCTCCCTCTCAATTTTTTATTTGACTTTTTCTCCGGATCTCAAAAATTCCCATTCTTATTAACTTCAATTCAGGGTTTTTAAGTAAAAAAGGAAAAAAAAATCAACAGATTAGGGTTTTTTTCCCCTAATCTTTTTATTATTTCAATTTTGTGTTTTATTTAATTTGCTCGGGGGAATCGGAATGGTGGGTTCTCAGAGCCCAAACAGAACTGCGGCGAAGAGGTACGGAATAATGAAACCAATCTCCGTCGCGGGTCCTACTGAACCTGATCTCCATCGAAATGCGGAATTAGAGAAGGTGACTAGTGGATAATCACAAAAATTTGCTCTTCGTTCTTTTAATTAATTTTACTTACTATTAATCCAATGATGTTTTTGGTAGTTTTTGGTTGATTCGGGTTTATACGAGAGCAAAGAAGAGGCTATGAAGAGAGAAGAGGTTCTGGGCCGTATCGATCAGGTAACAATATTCGAAATCAGTTTTCTTATTATTGTATTTTATGTGTACTGATTTGTTTTTTAATTAGATGGGATTTTTTTGTAGAAATTATTATGGTTTTGTGAAGAGGTTAATTTGTTGTTGCCGTAGATTGTGAAAGACTGGGTTAAGCGATTGACGCGTCAAAGGGGATATACTGATCAGATGGTAGAGGAAGCCAATGCTGTTATTTTTACTTTCGGGTCTTATCGTCTTGGGGTATATGTTTTCTTGTGCTTTATGATGACTTTATCTGTTTCCTCCTCTTTTCGTAGTTATTTCTGCACAGCTGTATGAATGCTTGAATATATTTGTTGCTTTTGGATTGCCAATATGTAGTTTTTAGCTCAATAGGAAATTGCAATAAGATTAGCAGATCGGAAAATGAAATGGTGATCTTTTATGTTTGTTAATGTATGGAAGCGGTAATGAGCCTAGGAAAATTGTTTTCTTGCTAATTCAATGATTCAATATGATGTTATACTTATAGCTTTAAGCTGGCCTCTTATTTCATGCACGAACCTGATGTGGAACAATGATAAAAAAGAATTAAAGCAGGAAAGAGAGAAGCTTTAGAGAAAGAAACTAAGAATTAAAGGCAAGTAAAGAGAATAAAAAGCCAGAAAAGAGAAGAATGGGAGTTGGAAAAGTATGCACCAACTCTGCAATTTTTATTCAATTCATCAAAAACTCCCTAACATTTAGAAAAGTATGATATAAATACTAAAACCCTAACTAGAACAAGCAATTGGGCTTATTGCCTACTAAATAAAACTCAACAATAATTAAATCAAGCCCAACAAATAAAGTCTAAGTAATAATCTCAACTAAAAGTTAAAATAAATTAAACCAAAACATAAGCTAAAGCCCAATCTCTCAATGGTGTGGGCTACCCTCCATTGTCTATGATCATACGAGTGCATAAACAATGTCTTGGGTCTGGTGTCCCCACTAGAACCTTTCATAGTCTTGATTGAGCCACCTGGCTGCAAGCGTGTCCTTAGCAAATACCTTAACCAGTGGCTGTGTACCCAACTGCTTTGTCCTGCTTCACTTAAATCCTTGGGGTTTTATTTGCAACCAACACTCATTCTGTGCTGTTATAGTTTAGTTCCAGCTAATACTGTGGTGAAAGGATACTGCTGGCTTGTCTGCCCAGATGAAAAAAAGTGGGATTTTTAAAAATCATTCAAAAGTGCACTATAATTGTTAGGCTGTTGTTTCTGAATATGATGTAATCTTATGTTTTTGTTACTTAAGTGATCTAATTACATTTTCTGTTGCATTTATGGCAATGATTACTGTTTTAACAGGTGCATGGTCCTGGGGCTGACATAGACACCTTGTGTGTTGGACCATCATATGTGAATCGAGAGGTGACTCATAAACGTGGCTTATTTTCTTTTTAGTTCTATGGTATTTTGACTGACATGCTAAGTTGTTTTTTTAGGGAGACTTCTTTATTGTCTTGCATGATAAGCTGGCTGAGATGGAAGAAGTTACTGAACTTCAGCCAGTTCCAGATGCTCATGTCCCAGTTATGAAGTTTAAATTCCAGGGAATATCAATTGACCTTCTCTATGCAAGTATATCCCTTTTGGTTGTTCCAGAAGTAAGCTACCTAGTCTTTGAAATATCCATGTTATGCATTATTTTCTTATGCTCTTCAATTTGATTGTGGCACATGCAGAAAAGTTTTAACATTTATCACTTGATATGGACCCCCCCTCCTCTTTCCTCTTTTTCCTCATTTGTTGTTTCTCTCGTTGATAATGAACTTCAGTAGCAAATCTGGAGTCAAGTGTTTCTTCTTTTTTTGATTTGAGATGCACTTTAATACCGAGAATGCTAATCTTTAAATCATAAAAAATCTCTTCTCTGTGTTTTGGTAAAATTTTCTAAGACCTGCTCCTTGCATCCTGTTTTACCACTCTAGCCCAATAGTAGCTACTTTTGACAGTCTTGTAGGTTTTTGTAAAACATGCTTGGTGATTATTATATGTATTTTGTAAGAATCTTGTTTTGCATGTATAGCCGCTATCATCAGCTTTTGGAGTGTATTGTTGGTTTGTCTAAAGCTTCTTAGCTGATTGAGTCTTGTCATCTTCAAGTTCTAGCATTTTTTTCCTTTCATGAGTTTGGGGTAGCAAAGCCTATGATGTGATGCGTTATAACATTTGAAGCACTGATTGCTCAATTTGATCTGGAACTAACTTGTCAACAGGACCTGGACATCTCCAATGGGTCTGTGCTCTATGAAGTTGATGAGCAAACTGTTCGAAGTCTAAATGGGTGCAGGGTTGCTGATCAAATTCTTAAACTTGTTCCAAATGTTGAGGTGACTTACTGTATTCTCTTACTTATTTTACTAGAGTGCTTCAGTGATTTGACAGTCATTTTAACCATTGAAAAAATTGTAGCACTTTCGGGCAACACTCAGATGTCTGAAGTTTTGGGCTAAAAGGCGCGGTGTTTATTCAAATGTAAGATGGGCATCTTGATGAGTTATTCCAATTACTATTTCACACTAAATTATTGTTTTAATCTTCTCCTTAAATGTTTAGGTTACTGGTTTCCTTGGTGGAGTAAACTGGGCTCTTCTAGTTGCTCGAGTGTGCCAGCTTTATCCTAATGCAATTCCTAGTATGCTAGTCTCTCGGTTCTTCAGAGTCTATACACAATGGCGTTGGCCGAATCCTGTGATGCTATGCTCAATAGAAGAAGATGCGCTTGGGTTTCCTGTGTGGGATCCTCGCAAAAATCCTCGAGACCGGTTTCATCATATGCCAATAATAACTCCTGCATATCCTTGCATGAATTCTAGCTACAATGTGTCTACAAGTACTCTTCGTGTTATGACAGAGCAATTCCAAAGTGGTAACAGGATATGTGAGGTGAGAGCACGTAGCAATCTATTTTCCTCTACTTTCCTACATTATACTATTGATACTTTGTTGCTTTGTCACTTTGTTCTCTTTGCAGGAGATTGAGCTGAACAAGGCACAGTGGAGTGCTCTTTTTGAGCCTTATCTTTTCTTTGAGGCATACAAAAATTACCTGCAAGTTGACATAGTTGCAGCAGATGCTGTTGATTTGTTAGCTTGGAAAGGCTGGGTAGAGTCTCGGCTTAGACAACTTACCTTGAAGGTAAGCATCTTACCTTGTAATTTTGTTGCAAGCTGATATACTCCTTTCAGTTTTTAGCCATGTTTTCTAACGTAGTAGTGAGTTTTTGTCTTATTTGAAGACAAGATGATCCAACAAAGTATGACAGCTGTCTTGCTTTACTCGCTGTCCTTTCCATGTGACATTTCTCAGATAGAGCGGGACACCGATGGGATGCTGCAGTGCCATCCTTATCCAAATGAGTATATAGATCCGTCCAAGCAATGCGCACATTGTGCTTTCTTCATGGGTTTGCAGAGGAAAGAGGGAGTGACTGGCCAGGAGGGCCAGCAATTTGATATACGGGGAACAGTTGATGAGTTTAGGCAAGATATAAACATGTACTTGCCTTGGAAACCAGGGATGGATATATATGTCTCTCATGTTCGTAGAAGACAGCTTCCGGGCTTTGTTTTCCCTGATGGGTACAAGCGTTCTCGACCATCACGACATATGAACCAACAGACTAACAGGACTAGTGAAGATGTTGCAAGATCCCTGTCTGGGTCTGCTGAGAGACATGTTAAGAGGAAAAATGATTGTGAAATGGCAGATTTGAAGCCAGTTAAACCAGAGAAACGGGCATCTACAAGCCCACAAAGACTGCAGTCTGTTTCTCCTTCTAGTAGTGCTGGTAGGTCTGGTGTGACGTCTCTGGCTGGTTCCTGTGAAGGGGTTATATTAGGGTGTTCAACCATTGGGGACATTGTTAGCAACTGCGAGGATGTTGCTAGCAACTCCGAGGTTAGGTCAACTAGTGGGCAGTTGGAGAGTGAAAAAGGTGATTTGGGGGATGCTAGGCAGCTGGGTGTGACTGTCTATCAGGAGTCACCCTTAAATCAGCAGACCTCAATGGACGTACATGATTCACCAATAGTTAGGAATGAGCTAGAACCAGCTGATCATATGAATGGCTCAGAGCCAATGGGATTGATGTTTGATCCAATTACAAAGCAGGAGTTGGTCAGTTCACATGAAGTGCCAAATTTTGAAACTGGGGAAAAACATAAGGAGGTTGGCGTGAATGAGAAAATTGAGGATTTGGGGTCAAATTTCTTGGAGAATGGATCTTCAAGGAAACTGATGAATTGGGTTGGGGGTGCTAGTCGAGGCATGGAGGTTGACCAAGAACTTGTCAAACCATGTAGTCAGACAGCTGTTGTAGAATTTGCTGAAAGTGTTATAAGTTCACATTCTGGCTCTCAGAACCTCAACTACGAGGTGAGTTATTCTGTTTGAAGTTTTTGGGTTAAATATTGTTGTGGATAGTTGTGGCAATACTAGAAAATCCGGCAATAGTGAGAGTGGGGATCTTTGCAGGGTAATGTGTGTGCTGTGGATGCGGATTCACTTCTGGAAAGTGGATGTTTGAATGTGAGTGGAGCTGAGTATTATTGCAGAACGGCTTGCCAGAAGAATTAGAGGTTTAAACTCTGAATTGCTGCTGTACTTTACTATTACTATATAATAAAGAATTTTCTACATTTACTCACTGTGTTGCCTGTTCATTTCTCTTTCTTTCCTCCTCTTCACTTGGAACTGGGTCAATGCAACAATGGCTCTGTTTTTATGAAAATTTTATGTGGAGAATCATGCATTTGGATTCCAGAAATTTGTTAGAGACCTCCAGCCTTGTAATCCTTGCAGTAGGAAATCAGGACCTAATGTTGAATGGTTCCACGCACCGAGATCTTTACTGTTGGCAGATCCAAAATTAGCAGATGAATTTGAACTGTCTGAATTGTTCTTTCACATTCTAGGTTTCATCTTTGCACAATTACTGTAAGGTACTGTAATTAATACTTGTTCAATAGTCTTACCATGCTAATTGTTTTACACAGAGGATCTCCCAACTGCTAACCTGACCATGTTTTATGTCCAAGGCTCAGATACATTAACCCTTCCTTTAAATTTTTTTCTCCAATACTTGTCACGAAGTTCACTCACCTCCTTGCCTTTCTTTTGTATCATGCAGCCGAAGACTGCAATTGGGAAAGTTTTAAATTCTCAAGATGGTGCTAGGTCAGAATCTTTGCAGAAGCCAGTGATAAGGCATGCATTTTAAAACCCTGATTTTCATCATATTAATCATGGTATTTTTATGCTGTCCTGTTTGGTTGGTTGCATGGCTCTCTCTTTGCAGGTTGAGTCTGAAGTCATCTGCGTAGCATTGGGCAAGGGGGAACACTGTAATGTAATCACTGTTTATAAAGGAAAGGACCAGCAACTTGGTAAGTTAAACATTAATTGCTGGCTTTCGTTGCGGGTGTCTTGGTGTGTGTTTGGCACTACCGTGTGGACTGGGACAGGTCAGCCATCAATTAAACTGTGAATAGCTCAGTGGTTTGGCCAAGTTTTGGGTGTGAGTTCCTTTGCTGCGTTTGGCAGAAGCTGTAAACTTCCTGGTGCCAAGAAGCTGTTGAGCATGCCGGTGCTTTGAAGACTTTGTGCATTATTATCGAGTTGTATTTGTTGTTTCCTTGTAGGCGTGGGGAATTCACTTAGGCAGTCCTTCCGCAGGTGGGTGAGGATAGTTTCCTGCCAATGAAATGTCTATTTGGAATCAACAATACTGCAAATAAGATCAATTTGGTTATGTGATTTGTAAAGGTTTTTTTGTCTGTATACTCGACTTCTTGTATGTAAGTTTATTTAGGAACCCCTCTCCATCTCCCATTGGACTAGACATGCTTTTTTAGTTCTCTCTCTCTCTCTCTCTCATTAAAGTGGATAAACGTTGGAATTTTTTCCATGCGAAACCTTAGCGTTATATGATACAGTTTGGTGGCATCTTTCTGCAGTAATCTGCATGTCGTGCAGAACAGCTTAGGCACGGCCATCCTGTCTATAGTTGTAGATGGCTTGCCGTCTGAAATAGTGCAGGAGTGTTGTGGGAAGTGTTTCAATAACCAGTACCCAACAAGTTAATATCTACATGATCCAGCTACTCTTTTAAGGTTTGCTGCACTAAATTGAATCCGGTTCTGCAGTCGCTGGACACTAAAATTAAGGGTCAGAAACAAATTTAATACGATCATCAGAAACGAGTGGCTGCTCCGGACCGGGAAGAGATCGGGTATTATTTCTTGACTATGTTGCGCTATATTACCCAAAAAAAACAGAGAGAGAGAGAGAGAGAGAGAGAGAGAGAGAGAGAGAGAGAGAGAGAGGGAGGGAGGCAGGGCTACGATACGTCATAGGCTGTAAACTAAGCTGATATTATCATATGGCTGTCTCGTGCTGCGTTTTGGCAGAAAGAGAAGTTGCTGTTCCAAGAAGAGGAAAAACATCAAGCTCGGCACCTGTCTTTTTCTCTCCATTACTGTCTGCAAAACCTCGCCGCAGAATCTCCAAAACATCCTTCATAGAAGGTCTGGTGGATGACAAGGAGTGCGTGCAAATGAGTCCTAGGTTGAATACAGTGGTCATTTCTTGCAAGAAACATGGTTCCTTAATCTCCGGGTCAAGGCAATCAACAACAGGCTTTCCCTGGCCAAACTGCTGCCGTGCCCATTCTGCAAGGCTGGTATGCTCATCTCCACTGTTAGGTTCTCTTCCAGTCGCCAATTCCAGGAGTACAACTCCAAAGCTATAGACATCTATCTTTTCGTTCACCCTTGTTGTATAGGCATACTCTGCCATAAAAATGAGGAAAAAATAGCTTTAAATGGTGTGGTGTGATCTCAAAATTCAGAGTTGGAATTAAATGAACAGTGAATATACTGATAAAGCACATTGAAGTTGTTGAATGATCTTACCAGGGGCCATATAACCGAAAGAACCTGCTACAACAGACATGGTATGAACCTCTCCTTGCTTAGCCAATATTCTGGCCAGTCCAAAATCTGCTATTCTTGCCTTCAATTCAGAATCCAACAAGATATTACTAGACTTCACGTCTCGATGAATGATAGGAGTGGAGCAGTCATGATGCATGTAGCTTAGGCCTTGTGCAGCTCCCATGGCAATCTGGAACCTTGTGGGCCAATCCAAGACAGAATTATGGACCGAACTTGTTCCCATTGATGAAGTTCTCTTCCTCCCATGAAGCCATCTATCAAGGCTTTGGTTCTCCAAGAACTCATAAACAAGAAGCTTTGAGCTCTCACTTGAAATACAGCACAACAATTTAACTATGTTTGCATGCCTAATTGTTCCCAGTATCTGAACCTCTGCCAAAAATTCCTTTTCAAGATTGTGATCCATTTTTTCGTTAATCCAAATCCTCTTGACAGCAACGTAGTCACCTGCACGGTTTATGGCCACCCGGTATACCTTCCCCGATCCTCCACTTCCAATCAGATTATTTTCTGTCAAACTTGCCAAAACGTTTGCTTCTGTGAAGTCCAATCTCTGGAATGAGGTCAGCTTCCATGCTGCCAGATCACGTTTTGCCTTCTTTCTTTGGTAGTCCCTAACCTTAAACAAGGTGACTGTCATAGTGACTAGAAATATGGTCACAGTAAGAACCAGAATCAAGGCAAGAGTTTTAGAGGGCATTTTTTTAGAGTCACGAAGTTTAGCATAGCAATTAGGAAAGTTCAGAATTGGATTAACAGCACAGAGATTAGAATTGTTCAGGAAGCTGTTATCATAGGCAAGGTTATCAAACTGATCTGGGATTTTCCCAGATAGATGATTGGAGGACAAGTTGAGAAAAATAAGTTTCAACTGGTCAAATTCAAGAGGGATTTGACCAGAAAAATGGTTTTGAGACAAATCTAAATAGAGCAGGTCAGGTAAAGACCCCATCTCCTCTGGGATCTGGCCAGAAAGTGCATTTCTTGAGAGATTCAAACTAGTCAATGACTTCCAGGATATTATCTTGGATGGGAGTTGACCTGAAAATTGATTTCCATCAAGCAGAAGATTTGAAAGGTGAGGCAGACTCGTTATTTCCACAGGAATTTCACCAGAAAGAAGATTGTTGCTCGCCTTGAAATCAACCAAGTTCACCCAGCTAGAGATTCCAGGAGGAATCGGACCAGAAAATCTGTTGTTGCTGAGTTCCAACCTTGACAAATTCCATGCCAGCTTGCTTGGAAGTCCCCCCGAAAAGGAATTGTCACTTAACATCAAGTAAGTCATATTGGAGGCTGTCCAAACACCTGCAGGTATCTCACCTGAAAAGCTGTTGCTGTAAAGTTGAATCGTGTGCAAACTGTTGCAATTTCCAAGAGATTTAGGCACCCGGCCAGAGAGATTGTTTTCAAAGGCAACTGCACCCAGCAAGACACCTCCAGCACATAAATTCTCAGGCAGTTGGCCACTGAATTGATTGGTTGAAACATCAAATTCTACAAGTTTTGAATAAAAGCCCATTTTAGGTGGCAAGGCTCCACTCAAGTTGTTGCTAAAAACCTTAAATGTTGTCAGTGCAGGAAGAAGGCCTATGCTTGATGGTACCTCACCGGACAAGTGATTGTCAAACAGACTCAGAAGTTGCAATTTCTTCAACTTGCCAAAATCTTCTGGAATCGAACCATTTAAGTGGTTCATTGCAAGATCAATCTCCACCAAATTCAACGTTTCGACTCTCTGAGTTATCTCACCAGAGAAGTTATTCTGGAAGAGATACAAATTAGTCAAATTCTTCAACGAAAACAACCCATCAGGAATCTTACCTTCCAAATAGTTTCCAGCTAAATCCAAGTGCTCAAGACTTGAAAGATTGTTCAAGCTCTCCGGTATTTCACCAATCAAATTCGATTGTCTCATCCACAAAAACCTCAACTTCTTTAGCTGACCGAACTCCACAGGAATTGAAGAGGGCAAAAACTCGTTAAACGCGAATCCCAGCTCTTCAAGATTGGAAAGCTTACCAATCTCCTTAGGAAACGTACCGTTGAACTGATTCTGAAACAGATGCAATGTCAGCAACTCTGTCAGGTTCCCTATCTGTGGTGGAATATTGCCTGTGAAGTTATTAGCTCCAAGGTTTATATACCTGAGACCTGATAATTTATCAATATCGTCAGGTATTGGACCGACAAAAATATTCTGTGACAGGTCCAAGTACTGAAGCTTTGTACAGTTGTAAAGAACTTTTGGAAATCCTCCTGGAATGTAGTTCAAATTCATGTAGAGAAATGTCAGGTTTTTCAGGTCACAAACTGTTGCTGGGATTGTTTCTGTGATGTTTTTTTCACCTAGGTCAAGTCCAGACACCGAGCCATCGTCTCCACAGGTTACCCCTGTCCAATCACAGGGCGAGGATGATGAGTTCCAGGACTGAATGGACGATGGATTGCCAAGTTGTTGTTTCAGGTTTAGAAGGATAGTGTTTTCAGTGTTGGCATCTTGGGAAATTACTTTGAAGGGCAGGGAAAGTAAGACTAGAACGCAGAGGAGGGGTGAAGTTCTGAGAAAAAGGATGGTTAATTCGGACATCCTGAAGGGTTCCAGGTGGTTTTTCCGGTTGGGTTTATTTTGCCGGGAAGAGAAGGGCGAGGCTTAACGGCTGGATTTGAAATGTGGTTGGCATTTGGCAAAGGAAGACGAGGGGAGATGTTTGGTATAAATCCGGTGTGCGAAATGACATTCAAAGCGACAATAATTACATATGCACCACTGAAAGTGATTTGATGAGTCAACGACTAGTAAAAGTTTGTGGTTCTTTCACTGATCAATGACTTTAAATTAAGTGCCCGTTTGTCATTTGACACTCTGTGCTTTTAAAATAGTTTTTAAATTATATTTAGTATGAAAATGTTAAATTAATATTTTTAGATATTTTGTTGATAATATTAATAACTTAATATTAAAAATAAGAGAAATTATGAAAAAAAAATATTTTAATGTTTTTCCAATTAAAAAATAATTTAAAAAAACACCTGCATTCTACATGTTATTCTACATGTTTAGTATTATAATAATTATTATTTTTTTTAACACCTGCATTCTACATGTTATTCTACATTTTTAGTATTATAATAATAATTATTTTTTAAAATTTTTTTGGTTAAAGATATATTAAAATTATTTTTTTATTTTTTTAAAATTATCTTTATATCATTATTTTTAGAATGCTCTTAAAATATAAAAAATTATTTTTAAAAAATTATTTTAGAAATAAAAACACAAAAGTGAATGATTTCACAGAGGAACTAGCACAGAAGAGCACTTTGGTTTTGGGTCCACGAGGCATGAGCAAATGGTGAGGATGATGATAAGCATGCCATTGTATATACAGCCCACGACAATTTAAATATGATTTTTTTTTGTGATGGAAAATTTAATTACTCGCTGAAATGTAGAAAAGAAAGTTAATTTGACGGATATAAAAAGAGGTGTTTATTTAAATAACTTGTCTTTGAGTGGACTTGGAAAGTGAATGATACTATGAGATCATAAAAGTTTTTAAAAAATCTACATGATAATTTCCAAGAATTTTCTCTTAAAAAAATTCCTTTTATTTAAATTTAAAAACCCTTTGAGACACAAGATGTATAATAACTTTTATAAAATATTTGTTATTGTTCATATCATTGTATTGTTGTATTTCTTGAACTTATTTTATCTTTTAAAATATAAGTTCTTTAAATAAATATTATTTATCAAGACTAACATGATAAGAATATTCATTGTAAAAATGGATAATAAAAATTTATAGTAAAAAAAAAACAAATGCTAATATCTTCATAGTTCTTATTTTTTTCTCAATCATTTAAAAAACTATTTAATTAATTAAATAACTTCTGTTTTTTGTACTCACTCTATATATAATTACGTTTTAAATTTTAATTTTATAAAAGCTAAAATAACATACTTTTTATTTATTTTATATTTAAAAATTTATCTCAGATATTTTTTAAAAAATATCACAACTAAAAATATTAAAAAAAAAACTAAAACAAGACAAGACAAAACAAGCACTAAGCCAAAGTGGATCACACGGATAATAGAGGAAAAGCCCATGGTTTCCTCGCACTATCATGGATTAGGTTGTTAAAGGTAACAACGTTTGTAAAGGAGAGAGTACTTGTGTTTTTTACAGTCACCCCTCTGATTCTGTTCTTTGTTGACTGAGGTTGATAGCTAATTAACCAAGCTGCTCTGATTACCTAGTAATTACGACAGCAGTGTGAATTCTCAAGGGATAATTCTGTAGTTCTTGAGATGTTAAGGGGTAGTTTTGTAATGAGCCGGTACACAGATGGGTTCCTTGGTCAACACATGGATTAGTGTGGTGACGTGAAACATGCACGAGGCAGCGACTGGGAAGGAAGGAAGGTTCATGCATTGGGGTTTCCTTTACTCAATGGTTTTGTTTGATTCGTTGTTCAATGTTGACTATTCTTGTTTAAGTCTTCGGTCAAACCTCCGAAATTAAAAACCATTATATTGCTTTTGGCTGTATCTATTTTCTATTTTCTACTTGAGTTGGGCTGGAGGGATGCAGTGTTCCACTCTCTTTAATGGTGGTGGTGGCGGCCATGTCTTGGACCGTATGTTATTTCTTAATGAATGAAGGAAAGAACATGTGGGCATTCTATGGGAACAATATTTTATCACTGTATAGAGTATTCATGGGTGCAATTCTTTTTAATTTTTCCAAGGTAGGTTTTCTATGTCTAAGCTAGAAAATCTATTTTAAACATTCTAGATTGTTCTCTCACTGAATTAGTGAAAGCATGGACCCACTAATTAAAGAATCGAAATTAATAGCAATGAAATTTGATTGCTTGAAGCTCTACAACTACCATGCCCGATTCTATGTATTTTCAAATAAAAATTAGCTTATATATGATAGTCTGAGCCCATAAAACTTTTTTTTAAACTTACTTTCTAAATCGATTAAATTTAGATTTATAAGTTACCATGCCCGATTCTATGTATTTTCAAAAAAAAATTAGCTTATTAAAGGATATAATTGGATGTGTTATACCACTGATTTTGTTAAGTATAAAAGTATATGCTAGCCAGTTTTAAAGGATATAATTTAATTAGTTAAATTCTAAATTTATATTCTAATTTTAAAAACCTTAAAATTAGAAATTTAAAATTATTTAAACATGTAAAATTAATTAATAGCAAACTCTGAATATAAAATTAGAGTCGCAAATGCCTGACAGTAGCCTTGCCCGGCCCACAGAAACATCTCAAGTCAAATAAATCTCCCAGACTATTGAATGCTAGAGCTGTTGAAGTAGAAAGTGGCACATGCAAGCTGGTTTTTGCTCTTGAATCTAAGAGTTCAAATTTAGCTAGAAGTAATACGACATCTATATTGATCTGAAGTAATCTAAAATCATGCGCCTGATTATACGCACACCAGTTCATGTTTCTTGTCTACATATATATGTCACAGTTTTTTTTTTTTTATATATATAATATTGTTTGTGGTTTTTTGCTGGATCACTTTGTCAGTCTAATAATAATAATAATTCTAATAATAGTCGGTAGTCACCTTAATAAAATAAAATAAAATGGAACAGTCATCATTCAGCATGTTAAACCAGAGGGGAATTCCCCAATAATTAATAGAAATTTAAAATCCTATACCCTTGCTATATAGATGTCTGCGTGTGGTTTAAGGCACTTCATTTTCACTACAAAAAGCTTAAATCATTGAATGTAGATCCATAAAGTCAGCTTCACATGCTGTGTGTTTTTCCAACGACGTTTTTTAAAGGGTTGGTTTGTGGTTAAATATGTTTTTTTTCATTTAAATTTTGACTTAATATCCATCAGAATTTATTAATTTTTTCAGAATATAAGAGGATGCACTTTAAACTTATGGTAAGGCCTATAAATCTTGACAGCAGGGAAATAATTTACCTTTAAATTGTGTTCCAGTATTGATGTTGTTTGTACACGCTATATTAACTTATAAACCTTGTTTGGATTGCCATTTGTCTTCCAAAATATTATTGACAAACCTCAAATTATTCCTCGTAAACTGATTTTCAAAATGGACCCAAACTATTGAACTTTTCAATTGAATCCCTAATGTATCATGCATATTTTAATAGGACTCCGTTTATGAATTCTTCTTCTTCTTTTTTAACAGAAAACATTCAGTTTTCCTCCAAAAAGCCTATTTATTGTGATTTACATGAAACCATGAACAATATAGACGGGACTCAATTGTGGACTGCCTAATATTTTAGGGACCCAACTGAGAAGAATGATAGTTTAGAGACTAATATGAGACTTGCCAAAACATTTTCATGTCTAATTTTTTTGTTTGTTTTCAATAAACAACATTTAGAGTATTTTTGAACCAATGTCGATCATATCTATTATAATACTATCATTAAAATAATATGGTAAAATTAGCTAGCTAGAAGGTTAATTGGATTGTGGGTGTTGCCCTAACCTCTAGGTAAACGAAGGCTTTATTAAGGGTTATGCTGGTGGATGAGTAAAGCTCCAAGCTTTTTTTAACTTGTAGATGGTAGGTAAGCTGATTATTTGATCAACTTTAGTCATATTCTGCCTCACCAAAGAAAGAAAATATATTTTGATTGCTTTAGAAAACAGAATGTGAACATAGAAAATGGAAAAAAAAAGAAAAAGAAGACTTGGAACTCACCACTCCCATCTAATTTCTTTCTTTCTTTATAGAAGATAGTGATATTTAGCTTGCCTAATTTCTATGACTTTTAGGAATTTTTTTTTATTTTAAAAGTGTTTTTGAAAAAAATTAATTTTTTTATTAATTTTAAATAAATATATTTTTAGTATTTTTAAATTATTTTGATATGTTGATGTTAAAAATAATTTTTTTAAAATAAAAAAAATATTATTAATATATATTTTTATATGAAAAATTATTTTAAAAGTTAATAGAATAGAAGAGGGAAAATTGCAGTACAAATTTTCAAAAGCTAAACACATTTTTTCTTTGTTGCGGGCTGGGTCCGTTCTCTGATGCACATCAACCGCACCATACACGAAGTCAATATTCAACATAGACAAGAATTGCTCCCAAGTCCCATCATGATTTTTCGCCTTTGAGACAAAGCAATGGAAGTGCATAGGTGAAACACGTTCGGATGATGTCATAATTATTTCTGTGTTTAAAAGTTTTTTATTTAAAAATATATTAAAAATAAAAATAATCTAAAAGTATTCAAAAATAATTTTAAATAAATAAAAATGATAAAATATTTTTAAAGTAAAATAAACAGGCTCGGAGACCCTGACACTCCTTGAATGGCCGCACTGCCTGTAGTATGGACACCGGGAAACCAACCAATTTAAAAAAACTGGAGGCCCAATCACTTGATGCTTCGCCGTTTTATCTTTTCCACAACAATGTACATCTCCTTGGTTTTCAAAGCTTGTTTATCTTGTAGGTTGATAGATTTAGTAGGCTTGTAAAAATAAACTTATAATAATAGACTTGTAAAAATAAACTTGAAACGAGTTAACTTGTAGTTTTTATTGTAATTTGGTAAGCTTGTAGTTTTTATTATAAAAAAACTTAGAAATATAATTTTTTTTTATCAAGAATCTTACTTGCATCAAGAATAGCTTTATAATTAATTATTATTACTTGCATCAAGAATAGCTTTATAATTATTTTTTTTTTATTTGAGGCATCCCTAAAAAAAGAACACAAAACATATATAATTCAATTACTTGCCACTTTCACATTTAGAACTCACGGGTTAATTTTGTATAAAAGATTTATGGGGCATTTATTGGCGACAAACTTGATTCAGGCCTAGCTCACGACTCACGACCCATGACTAAAATCCATTGAACAACTGCAGCACCGAAAAGGGATCACTCTTTATACTGGAAGGGCTTGGAGGCACGGAGACCGTGACCCATACCCTGGATGGCACCGCTCGCTGCAGCTATGGACACAAGGAAGCAGACCAGGTTCAAAAGCTGAAGGGCCAACCCCCTTATGCTTAGCCTTTTAATCTTATTCTGGGCAATGTGCATCTCCACAGGGAAATAGACTGTCATGGGCCCATATGAAATTGCCCCAAGAAGTGCGAGTATTTCATTGAAGAAAGGCAATGCCATTGCAAGCAAAGTTGCAACCACGACAAAGGTTGTTCTCCCAGTCAGCCTTAAGAAGTTGATGCTATAATTTAACTTTTTGCTGCCAATTCTTAGTGGGTATTCAGTGTTTACAAATTCAGAATCGGGCCACCTCATGCTAGCCCACGACTCAAATGTACTGAATATAGGCTGGGCGAGTACCTGTCAATTGAGAGATTCTTTATCAAAACATGCAATTAAATTGATATGCACGAATGGGATCTTAGGACATGAGGAGGCACCTGGTATGCACCCACGAGGTGCACCACTATGCAGACATTGGCCAAGTCTATCAGCCAGAAAGGCTCGTAAAATCCAAAGCCAGTTAGCATGTTCCCTGGTGCTTTGTTCCCAAATGCAGCATAACCAAAGCAACCACACATCAAATAAAAGGTTGTTGAAGTTAATATAGCTATCATGTTGGCCTTCTTCATTACTTTATTTTCTGGTGGTGATGACCTTAGTGTGTCCTGACAATTCACAGTAAATGCAGTGTCAAAAGGGTTCAGTGCTCCGTAGAGCTCAATTGGAAACCACGCAAACTCCTTTTATGATTTGTTCATACAAAACATAGCACAAAAATGGTCGATTAATACTTATTATTTGTCAATTTAGCTTACATGTGAAAGAAACGAGGTAATTTAGCCTTGCTATTTAACATTCAGTCACGCATCCAGATTATGGAAAAGCAAATTGGTCAAAGACCCTTGAGCTTTTAGTCAAACCCAACTCAGCCCCTAACCTTTTGTTTTTCTGATTTTAGTCCCTAAAGTTGACCACCTCCATTAAAAATAGATGGCTATTTTGATAGGTTAAAAACACAACTGACATGGCTGTAAAATTAATATTATCATTGTTGACTACGCTCTTAACTTTTGTTTCAGGCACTCAGAAATGTTGTTCTCGAAATCTTACTTGAATTTCAATCAAAATGACAGAATACGCGCAAGCGAATGCCATATCACCGATTGCTCTAAATATTGTCCATATTTTTTCTGCTGCTGTTACATCTACTCCAACTTCTACTCCTGTAAGTGTTGTTCTATGCCCATGCCCTGTTTCAGAAGGAAAGAAAAAACATCATTTTAATACTACCTGAGAAAAAAAAAGAAGGTGAACTGACTTGAAGGAATAGAGGAAAACTACCTGAGATGACCTTGGCAAATGCCAGTCCTAGTCCAATTGATGAATAAGCAAAAGACATGATGGCAGCGACGATTGAGAGCCATGAAAGCTTGTGGAAATTTGGGATTTGAGACACCAAGATTTCAGTAATCCCAAGTCCAATCATGTACTTGTTGTTGGAAAACTTGCATGGAGCTCCATGGCCTCTCTTGTGGAAGCAATTTGATTTTCTTATAGCCCTAGAACAATATCCATCATCTTTATACAAATATGCACACTTAACTTTATAGATTATAGCCAGCAACACTAACATATTCATCAATCATACTATAATAATAATAATAATAAATATTGTTGTATATATATTTTTTTAAATAAAGGGCCATTTCACTGCGTTCGTGCATACGCTCACAGATTGTGATTTCTGTACACTATTTTATATGTAAATCTTTGCTCACATCATTATATATCATTATATATGTTAAAAAAAAATGTTTACTTACACCATGCTAACAGATGCAGTAATCGTGTAGCCAATTGTTGCCCCACTAAGAATGAGAAATTGGAACAGCCCACAAATCTTGCGCATGTTTTCACCTGTTTATTGAAATAAATAGTCATATAAGACTTAATGACTTTTACATAAAGTTGAAGTTGTGCCTTTAATTATACTCTGCCAAAAACATACCCAAATAGGCATTGACAGCGGCCATGCATGTGTAATTTCTCTTGCCAGATGCAGACTTTGGAAATCTATAACAATCTGCTAAGAGACTAGAGGTGTAATATGCAATGACTGAAAAGGTTAAGAGAATGCCTATGCCAGCGATCCATCCAAGCTGGGCCATGCCCCAGGTTAGTGAGAGAACCCCGGAGCCTATAATTGCTGTTATTATATGTGCACTTGCCGTCCACACAGTCCCTGCATTTCACACACGTTGGAGTCATTGAATTTATGTTTTAGCTAGAATATTTTGACTATAGTTCTAAAACACGAGCCGTTCTAATGGGGCCTGTTCTGTGCTTGATGGACCCGAGGATCGAGTTTAAAAAAGTTAACTCGAAGTAATTTGGTTTGATTTTGTCAGCTTGTGGGGTAATTTATAATCTTATTAAAATCTAGTTTGATTTTTTTAAATAAAATAATTTAATTAAAAAAATAAAATAAATTAACATACCTAACGAGTTGGGTAATGAAATAAATTTGCTTTACTTTACCCTGTGCTTTTCTCTAAAAAGGGGAGAAGATCTTGGGCAATTAAAATGGGGTATCAAATAACATGACGGGAGAAGATTTTGTGTTAGGTGCTAGTTGTACCTTTTTGACATCTTCTCCGCGAAACAAAAACATGCACTACCTATGGTTAATGGTTAAGGTTAACTGATAAGAACTCGGGATCATAGGTTTTTTTTTTTTATGATCTCAGGTTTAAATTTTTGATTGTTTATATGATGATCATTAGAGACTTACATAATCGTTAACTTCAAGGCTCGTGGGATTAGTCGTGGTGCGTGCAAGCTGGCCTGGACACCCACGTTAATTTAAAAAAAAAACATGCACTAAACAACCATCTAGGTGATGGTCAAGTGGTAAAGATTTGAGATTAAGGGGTTTGCTCCTTCTATGGTCTCAGGTTCGAGTCCTTGATTGCTCATATGATGATCAATGAAGACTTACATGGTTGTTAATTTTAGGGCCCGTGAGATTACCCAGCTAAGTACCATAACGGCCTGCATCAATTCGTCTTCTCCGCGAAACAAAAACATGCACTAGGCAAATGTATTAAGACGACTCCAGTTAAGTACCATGACGCACTGCATCAATTTGAGCTCCACAGACAAATGTCTTAAAACCTTTCCTAAAGCTACTTTTAATTATTCAATGCTTTATATATTGTTTTTTTTATGAATAAATTTTATATGATGCATGCATTATATGCAAAAAATAAAGGGTGTGGAGTCGGTTTAACTATTCAAGGAACCATATTAATATATATTTTTAATTATTTATATTTTTAAACAAATAGGACGACAAAAATAATTTGTCCCGTGCACCAAGCTCTTTTTATACCTTTTCTCTTTTTTAATTAGAAAATAACTCTGAGATCTATCCCACAGATTAAATGAACTTATTAGGCATCGGATAAGCATGGAAATTAAGAGCAACATATTTGAAAAGCAATAAACGATGCGTTCCATGCATGTAAATGCTACTCTGTAACCACCTTTTTAATTAAAAAGCTGTGCTAGCTGTCAAAACGTACTTTTCCCTATCTTTTCCATTTTGAGAAACTGATTATTTGCTAATAAAATAATATTTTTGTAATAAAGTGACTTATTGGGTTGGTAATACTGTATTCTATTATTGTTATTATTTTGATTAGAGGATGAAAAATATGTTTATTGGAACTGTTTTCACGTTAATTCAAATGACGACCTTTGAGAAAACATTACATATATATATATATATATATATGTTTGCATTCACTGTCAAAAAATAATTTAAAAACTTTTAATTTTTTTAATTATTTTTTATGTTTTTAAATAATTTTGATATACTGATATCAAAAATAAATTTTAAAAAATTTTAAAAAATTATTATTTTAATATATTTCAAAATAAATATAAATATAGTTGTAAAAAATAATTACTATACTACCTCAATTTATATTTTCTATTTTCCTTGTGGAGAAATCTATTTTCTTTCTAAAAAAAAACTGTTTCATCAATAATTAATAAGTTGAAGAACAAAGAATCCCAGTCTCCAATTATTTTCTCTCTTAAATAGAAATGAGTTGTGTGCATTGAATAAATTAAAACGGAGAAAACTTCAAGGCAGCTGTTATCAAACTAATAAATATGCATGGCTTGTCCATTGCATAGTTAATGACATTTGAGAACTACAAGAGGTGGAGTAGGCTACACATGTAATTAGTCACAGCAATCATGCATGACCACAGGACCACATGAAGATTGTGAAATTCAAGAAGTGTAGTTGATTAAGGAGAGAAACATCGAGAGATCGAGTACCTGTTCGTCTTGGTTTGCCATCATCATCCACCTCCCCGTCTGAAATGGTGCGAGGATCGGAACCAGATTCACAAACTGCATGTTGGATCATAAACTCTTGACGGCCTATCGCAGTCCCCATGCCGTTCGCCTCTGGTTTCTCAGGTGAACCTTGAAGAGCAAAAACGAAGAAAAATCTTAGATTGAATCGGCTGTATGAGATTGACAAAGCAAAAATATCTGTGTCTTTCTTGCTCACTATCTCCAGATTCTAGACAACGAAGAAGCCTATAATTACTACTTCTCAGTCAACTTCTTGTGTGTGTGTGTGTAGATATATATATATATATATAGCTAGTAGCGTATCTCTTAACTTTAGTTTCTCTTTGTGGAGCCGCCACGTTGATACAGCACCAGGCGCAGCGAGGTGTCAACCGCACTTTGAAAAATATGTCAATCCCAAAGAATATATACATAATACATAAATTAATTACTTGCCACTTTCAAGTTTAATTATTAACACTAATTTTGAAGAAGAATATCTTGCATTGTGGATTTGAGTTGTACATGATACAACGTGATTAAATTAATAGCAGGGATGCTGGCTATATATCTATAGCAGAGATGCTAGCTATGTATCTATACGTACCTTTTATAATCTTTTTAGTTTTACGAGAATTTTTAATATATTTTATTTAGAAATGTATAGAAATAATATTTTTTATTTTTAATATCAATATATTAAATATATAAAAATATTAATTAAAAATAAAAAATAAAAATTTTAATTTTGTTTATAAATATCCTTGAGATGCAAAATAAATAAGTTTTTAATCCGGTAGACATTACTTTTAAAATTTTTCTACTTTGGTGGTATTCGTTACGAGGTTATTTTTTTTTAAAGTAACCATTATAAGAGAGATTTTAAGGATATATAACTTGGATTTGAATAATATTTCATGTATTCATAAATTAAAGGGTTAAATGTTAGTGAAAATAGGGGAAAATAATTAAATTATTATTAATAATGGGTGAGAAACGGTTAAAAAATAATTTGATATATATTTTAAAAAAATTAAGAAAACTTAAAAATTGTTTGGAGGGTAATAGCAATCCATTCCCGATTAGTATTCTTCTTAACAATTAACCCCTCTAAAAAATACCAAATTAGGATTTATAAATGTAAAACTAAACCCTTTATCAAACACTCCCTGGGGGGGGGGGGGGGGGGGGGGGTGGTTAAATGAAAACTAAACCCCTTTGTCTTAAAATGTTGTGAAAATGAAAAAGTGCTGTGAGTGGAATACGATACCGTGTTGAAGCAAGTGTGCCCAAACATTTCTACAAAGTTTTTCTTTTGTCCTTATAACGTAAGGTATAACATATATACTAGGTTTAATCATATGTAGTCATGCATTAACACTCATGCCCAAATCCTGGCTATGTTCAAAACGAAGAAGCATTTCTTTTCTGCAATCTTGATCCATGTTAGCTAACCATTCCCATACCTGAAAGGCCAGACAACTTTCTGGCCTCTATGAGAGGTGGGTGTTCAATTCTTCCCCTTTTTTAAAGTGTGTGTGCGTGTGCGCGCCTATATACATATTGGCTAAGTAGCCTGGGAGTGGATTCATGTGGAAAGTGAGCTAACGGAACATCTGTGAAATGTGTTTCTCCTTGAAGTAGAATAGGTATGGTGGCTGCATTATAAAGGCAAATCATGAAGAAAAATATGAATTTGCTTTGTGTTTTGGTACTGTGATGTAGAATGATTTTTTGACACCTAGAAATATATTATTATTATTATTATTTTTTGTTTTTGACACCTTGAAGTAAAACATAAACTGTTCTCCATGTTAGTCTTAGCAGCTTCCCCCTAAAATTTATGTGTTTCCCTATCCTTATTGAGTGCTCCATGGTTACAAGCTTTGAATCAGGACACACCAGGCTAGCCCAGGTCTCCAATGCACCGAAAACTGGTTGGGATAATACCTGTCCGTACACAAGCACCCGAATAGATTAAATTAAATTAAAGGGTTAATAACTCAATCTGTTGTTATATAATATAATAATCCTTCAATTTTTCCTCAGGAATCAATTTTATTTTGAAAATATACTAAATTATTAATCTATCATTCTAAAAGATTTTCAAACCAAATTATTGAGATTTTTCATGTAATTTATACATGATTATTTTTTAATATTCTCAAATTGCAAACCAGATAAATGAAAGGTTTTCACATGCAATTCACGTGATTAATTTCTGTGACTTATCCTGAAAATATTGCAAAAAATATAGATTATAAACTTAATTTATATTCAATGATAAAAGTGGCTCAATTAGATCGGATAATTATCTTATTATATAAAGATGAATTAAGTCATTAATTAATCCCAAATTAAATTAGGGAAAACAAAAAAAATTAAAAATTGTCTCCATAGATGATTGACTAACTTAAAGATATTCTTCATTCCAAAGCATTAAAAGGGTTCGGACAAGTTCAAGCCCGACTCTGAAGGATAGAAAAGGAGGGTATAAAGTGAAAATAAGTCCGGTGACTTCATCATTAACCCTTTCGGTATGTCAAGCTAGATTGAAATAGGAACATTTTCCTGATCAAAGCAGTACTGTTAAATTTCTAACAGAATTGAGAGGGTCCGAAGTCAAGTTTCTTAGGGTAATGGGATTAGAACGCCATGTCCAAAGATCAAATGAAAATTCAAACGAGTTGGTGAAATCTAACTGTACCTGATATGCTCCCAGAAGATGCACCACAGTGAAAATATTAGCAAAGTCAATTAACCAGAAAGGCTCGTAAAAGCCGAAGCCAGTCAGCATGTTGCCAGGTGCATGGTTTCCCATTGCAGCATAGCCAAGGCAACCACACATCATGTAGAAAGCTGTTGATGTCAAGATAGCTATCGTGTTGGCCTTCTTCATCACCTTGTTCTCAGGTGGTGAAGACTTCAGTGTGTCCTGAAAATTCAAAGAAAATGCACATTTATTGAAATTTTCAAAACTGAAGTTGAGCGTTGCCTTTTCATGCCCCTCTGCCCGATTGGTTTCTTATTGGCATGGATTACGTGATAAATACCAGATATTTACCGTTCATACTAATCAATCTCAATTGCACATTGCTAAATTAATATATCAAATTACAAAACAATCGTACCGGTGAAAATACTGTAGCTAATCACAAGTTTGTAAACATCAGACAACCAGAGATTTTTTATGATCATAGCGAGGCAGGTCGTTTTTTGTTTTTTGATGGTGATCGTACGTAGGTGTCTTACGTGGATTTCAATTAGAATTTCAGCATATGTGCAAGCAAAAACCATATCGCCAACTGCTTTAAACATGGTCCAAACTTTATCAGAAGCAGTTAACTAGTCCACTCCAACTTCCACTCCTGTTAGAATGGTTCTTGCTCCTTGCCCTGTTCAAAATCTCAGCTATTAAATTAAAACTAAGGAAGAATCCAATGTCAAGTGGCATGGATTCAATTAGTGTCAAAATTCTCAAGCAAACTAGCCTGATCAACTTGAAGATTTGAGTTTCTTGGAATGGACCTTGTCATGCATGTTCATGACTCGCAAGAACTGTAAATTAATTACCTGAAACAACCTTGCGAATGACAACCCCATTCCGATTGATGCGTACCCAGAAGACATGATTGCTGCGATAACGGAGATCCAAGACATGAGACTATATATACAATTCGTCAACTTACACCATGCTTATAGAAGTTGTGATGGTATACCCAACTGCCAACCCACCAATGTAAGTCTATGGGACCAGCCCACAAACATTGTACGTTTTTCCTACTGATTTTCAAAGTGATTAGTTATGAATTTGCACCAACAATCAATTAAATGAGTTACAAAATACTGTTTGCATAATGGAATTACCTAGGTTGGCTTTGACAGCTTCCATGTAAAACATTGTACGTTTTCCCTCCTGATTTTTCAAAGTGATTAGTTATGAATTTGCACCAACAATCAACTATGCTCCTATCATCTTTAGTAAACTATAAAGCAACAATAAAAATCAAAATACAAGGGAAGAAACACTTTAATTAATGTCAGAAACATTAATTGTTGTCTACAGTTCCCCATGTTAATTTCATAAAAGCAATATGCAGGTCCATAACACGTCTCAATCTCACAGTACATGCATGATATATACTCTTCTTTTCCTTGACCACACACTGACCCTATTCATGCACCTATCAGGTCTAAATCTACTCCCTCTCTGTAAACATCAACGTGTTATTTGCAAAAAATACCTCTTTTAATAAAAAATGAAGAAATATTAAGCATGATTTCTCCCGTTTATTCATCTGGGTTTACATAAATATCATCTAAATTATCATATATATAAACAATTTTTGCATGCAGAGTTTGATAGAATACAGGCATGATCCAGTGTACAAAAATTGCAAGCTGGCTTGAGTTTTGGCAGATAAATACATGCTTGTGTGTTTGAGAGTGAGAAGAGCGATACCAGTCCTTCTGGGTTTTCCATCGTCATCTACATCAGCAACTTTGCGGGGATACAGGCCAAATTCACATAACTCGTGTTGAAATTCCTGATCTACCAAATTCAACATCTTCTAGTTGCCTAATTAACTTCTCTTATCTTTTCGGAGAGGAACGTTTTCTACAGGAAATTAAATAAACGTACATGCAAAGAAACAAGAAACTATGAATTAAATTTGCATGTAGTTGACTAGTTACCTTAGCAAGTGGTAACCTGGGAGAATATTTTGACTTCAACTTGAAAATGAGACCTCTCTACAGTCTTATTTATAGACATGTTCCCATCTTTCTACACACCTATCTTAATATAAATAAATAAAATGTCCTTTGTCCCACTTTGATATTGGTCTAATAGTTCTCTGTACAAATATTTCAAAATGTATTTCCATATTTCTTAAAACAAAATACATGAAAAACTTTGATTTACTAATTACTCATGAAAGAATAATTTTAAGAATTAATGCACATAAAAATAAATAAAATAAAGAATAATTTTTTGATAAACACTAATCAAAATCTAATTATGGATAAACAAAATGACAGGGGAGTGAGTGTAAGGTGCTTTATATTTTTGTGGCCTAACTATAAAAATCTTGATTTTTTTTTTTGTTTTAAGTAGCCTAACTATAAAAATCTTGATTTTTTTTTGTTTTAAGTAATTTTTTTTATATTTTAATTTTTTTAATTTTTTAATATCAAAAATAAATTTTTATCATCTTTCTAAACTATTTTTCGTCACTTGCATGTAATCATTTAGAAATTGAAAGTCCTGTGAAGAAGAGCTCACA